TTTAACACTAATATGCATTTATATCGTGGCCAAATCGTAAAATTGATCACGTTATGATGATGTGACCAATTATTTTATAAAATGGTGTTATTTCAAGAATCGTTGAACCGATTTAGAAGAAATTTTGTAGGAACACAATAATGGGGGGGGGGGGATGCCAAAGATGCCAAACTCTCTCTTTGATGACATTACGGTATAAAGTTACAAATAACAACACCAACTACAAAGTACTTCTGCTTAAAAACTTGAAATCGAACCGCCCTTCCGCCACTGTAACGCATTGTAACGTTTTTCAAGACCTCCTCTCCCCCCAGATTGCATTACGTAACACTAGAACGCCCCCTTAGCAACAAATACCACTTCTCACTTTAAAAAAACGCTATTTTTGTTTTCACCCATCAGAATGGGTGATAATGGGTAAAAACCGGGTTTTTACCCAAATCACCCAGTTTTAAGCCAATCGGGTGAATTGGGTTTTTACCCACTACCCATCTCTAGTTGCAACTGCTTTGAAATTGCCCCTGCTTTCAGTGTGCCTACTGCCGCGCTGCAACTGACCCGCACTGCTTCTGACCCGCGTTTGGTCTGTGGAAGCCTTTATTGTGAAAATACGCTCTCTTCTTGAAAGCTTGCAGGTCGTATCCGCCCGGAAACACCGCAGACGACAGTCCATTCCACAGTTTGGTTGTACGGGGCAGGAAGTTTCTAGAGAAACGTACTGTTGTGGACTGCCAACCATCTAAGTGATTAAACCGCAATTTGTTTAACTGGAAGGTTTGAAATTAATTGTACCTTACCGTATTGTGCGTCTGATGATTTCAAGTTATTTTTATTGGTACGTAACTAATTAGTTTGTTTTTGCTAATTATTTATTCTATCGTAGTCGTAGGTCAGTAACGTAATACGGTACAGTACGAGGGGTCCCGTACTTTTTTGGAAACCTTTAAAATATTGTGTATCTTCTTAAGAAGATTTCAATAGGCAATATTCAAGTGAAATTAATCAATCTGAACTCCATAGGCAATTTCATATTAAAATATGCATTGCGTGCTTCTTACAATGCAAACTGATCATAACTATTGCGGTACCATCAAATATCATTTAAAATTCAAATTCAAATTCAAATTCAAATATTTATTTGCACAATTTTGGGTAAACATAGATTAAGATTGTTTATCGAGTATTCTTTGATTGATATCTTATTCTGTGCCACTGGCACTTTCTCTAGATTCTTTTGGTTTGGTACAGTCACCGTTAAATATTCTTGGATGGCTCAAACATGGAGTGCAAGTGTGGTTTGGTTCCCCACCCCAGTCGACGAAGCACATGATGTCGTGCCCTGCGTGCCCAAACAACTGCACGCAGGAAGATTATAATATGAAGGCTGACATGCCACTCTTGTGGCGGAGTTTTCAGCTGACACTGTGTAGGTTTGTTGTCGACACGACAAGAAGAAGAAGCGTCAAAGACACATAAGTAGCTAAAAAATTCGCAACACGTCTTTGTTACAATCAGAATAAGGTTGTGGTCAACTTTTTGGCCACTTTGGGTGTCACCAACTAATGACTATGACTGTACCGGTATTATATGTGGATGATATAGTTCCAAAATACTGGACTGTCCTGTCGATGACATTGACAGTGGGGCGCCACCGTCAATACCGGATCGCTGGTTCAGATTTTTGCCATGTTGGAAATCATATAGTTGAACGATGGTAGCGCCCCCCTGTCATTGAGTTTGGCGGGACAGTTCAGCGTGGGTCATCTATATAATGATAATGATGACTATTCACATTGTCGTGAGCGTAGTCTTTTATTTTTCATGCATTGTTATGTTGAGCTTGTGTCATAAGTAATGTGCAGTGCGAATTTCAATTTACCATACGGTTCGGGAATTGTGCGCACCGCGTTTGGTTCTGTTTTGATGAAAATTGTAATGATGCTATAACTTATTTGATACGACGATAAATTTTCGGAAATGCACCTATCCTATGCAAAGAGAGATGCCATAATGGGCAAGTGTTAGATAGACCCGAAAATGCGAACAACGGTGTAGGGTAATTACGCCGGTTTTCCGTCCAGCTCCTGTTTTCGTCCATTTGACCGACTTGCAACAAACAAATACGGAAAATTAGAATACAAACCTAACTTTCCGTGCAAGTTTGGACTTGTTACAATCTATAAAATCAAAAAAAAAAAAAAAAATCAAAAAATATATTTATTCAGTTTAGACCACAAGTGGCACTTATGAACGTCAATAGAAAATAATAAAAAAAGAAAAAGGTAGCCCTTATGGGGCACTTTACATGTCTCCTTATCTTTTGGGCCCTACCAGCGCTTCGAGACAAACATATGGCAAGTGCTGAGAAGAAACGCCGGAACAAACTCAGTCACCACTTATTGCCAGGAATTATCTAACGGTAAGAATAGTCAAATTTAAATCATTTTACTTCAATGGACCTACAAAATACAATGTTTTTTCTTCTAATATGATCTTATTGCTATTACATTAAATATTTTAGTTTACGTCCACCTTTTAACAGTGATAAACCCATAAAAACCGTTAAAAAGATGTGGACGAAAACAAAAAACAGCTTTAAACGTTGTTGTGTTTTCGTCCATGACGTCATGAGCGAGCACTGGGGTAGACGAAAACCAAAATTAGCTATTCCTGAAGATTAGTTTTCGTCCATTTGTCCTTCGGCCTATTGAAATATTTTCCTAAATTTAGGTAAGAAACTTATTTAAATCTTTTTGATATCAATTGAAAGCTAACAAAATTACCTTTCAAATGATATACCACAATCCATAGTTACTGTATTGTAGAATTGGTTTTAAGTTAATAATTCAACTGCACCCTTTTTTCTACACAGTGGTCGAAAACTAACGTACACTAGGACGAAAACTGATTTTTTTGGACGAAAACTAGTGAAATCGCCTCTTTTGCATAAAATATTTTTTATAAAAAAACCCGTGCTATTTACTTATTGTCATATAATATTAACGTAAAGTAGACTATATAAGGACTAAAATGACATATGATACATATGAGTAAGGGTATTTGAAGATATTCATTTCGCATCACAAAGTTGGCAACTCCGATAATTGGACGAAAACTAGCGCACTTACCCTATAAAAGGGAGGATAAGTGGAAAAAAATAAACCAACAGCTTCTTTGTGGCTCGAATCAGTCTGATAACTCAAAATACTCCATCTTAATCATAACGAGATTGGGACATGAACGACGACGACAAAAAAGGCCGAAAATAAAGATGCGAAGGCCTGAAGTATTCTAACCAAACCAGATTCAGTTAAAGATGGCCATCTAACCAAACTAGATTCAGTGAAAGATGGCCATAGGGACAGAAGTGAACCGACAATCTGGTAAATGGGTCATTTTGGAAATCCTCAAGGACAACTACGGACGAAAGCTGTCGAGCATGTGGAGAACATGCGGAGTCCATGAAACACCTACTGTGCGTATGCGACGCGCTAGCTAGAACTAGAATGGGTCTCCTGGGGTCGGCTTATCCGACACCAGAAGATTATAGGCCCTTCTCATCCAAGCACTTGATTCACTATATGGATAGGATCTTTGTGGATGAGGGGGGATAAAGGTATAGGGAAGCACAAAACATCCCAATGGGCCGACGTGCACTGCGCCCATGCGCGGCCATAAATAAGATAAGATAAGATTTCTATAGGGGAAGGCTTTGTCCTGTGGTGGATGTCTTTTGGTTGAAACTGTTCGAATTAATGAAGAATAAGTTAGCCAAACACAAACTACAAGCTTATTAGCACAATCTGCCGCATAACCGTGTGAATTTTCATAACATCTCACCAAAGTATAATATAAGGTCACTTAGCATGTTGTGAAAGAACTAAGAACCTGTGAATTACTGAAGAAATAGTTTTTTTATGTTCTTTTCGTCCTATCTAAGAATATTGTAATGTGTAGTTACCAGATCTATCGGTTTGAATACTAATGTAGATTAATTTTATAATTGACATAGGCAACCTACTGGAGAGACTAAACAGTCCAGTAATGTGTTATTTAAAGGATAGAGAAGCTATCGAAAGCAAAATTCTTGCTACATTTTAGAACGAATTAAAACTAAAGTTTAACTCGGCACATAATTTTTAATCTAATGAGTGGTATCTATTTAAAACCAATTGTTAACTGCGATTGTGGTCAAATATCTGCCTTGTTATGCATAAAAATAATTTAATTACTTTTTATTAGTTCTGCCTCTAAACAAGCGATATGTATCCTATTGTTTGTGGTTAAAACATCATTCGCTCATCCACCTGCATAATAAAAACTTGGATATCCAATGGGATAACTGGTCCTAACTTGTAGGCTCGTAGGTAATGTTACTACATAATGCTAATGGACTACATTACTAGAAACTTTTACTAAAATTTGCTAGTAACAAAAGAATTATTTATTTAAAATGCCAAAAATTTTGAAAATTAGGCAAACTATAAGTAATAAATATGAATTAAATGAGATGGATCACTTGCACTAGTCATTCTCACTAGCTAAATATTACAAAAACTGCAACCAAGGAGTAAAAATTCAACTATTGACAAAATCAAATTCAGTTATGCATGGTGTAGATAAGCCGAACCAGACAATCATGTTACAAACATGGACTATAAGCCAGCTAATCTTCAAAGTTAAAAAATAGTATAAGTTGATAAAGGTAGGTGGGTAGATAGTTCAAGCTAGTAAAAGGAAAAGGTAATAAATCAGTGACATAATTTAGTTTATTGGAGTTTACATAATTTTGAAATCAGTCATGCAAGTAACTTCACTTTAATATTATTAATGGACTTAACAGTCCAATTTGAGGGAAAGTATAATGCTGTAACACGAAGAAATTGAGAATAGTTGTAGGCAAGTACCTACTTACTATAAAGAAAGTAGGTGAATTTAAGAAGTTTTTTGGCATATATCCTGGGGAATTAATAATAAAAAGTGGTTATCCTCTAACTTACCTGTTATCGAATGTTGGCCTTGTTTTTAAAACTTTCAACTTGGGATGTGCACTTCAGAAACTTGTTCACTTTTGTGGCATGTAAAATAAACAATCAATGCTGTTTTAATTCGAATCCAGATAATAGAAATCACTGCATTGGAAAGTTATTTATAAAAATTCACGAAAAACTTGTTTTGATAAAGTTAACTTTGCACGTAAAACACAAAACAAAATAACTTTCTTTGAGTCCCGTCCACGCGTGCGCCAGCCATCACTTTCCGTTCAGAAATAAGAGTGAATGGAGAATGATTTTAATTAGCGTTGTTCGTTCAAGGAATGAGTGAGTGATGAAACGTCAAGCACTAATGTCATTTTTGACGGCACAGATTAGAAAAAAAGGCAAAGGTCAATATCCATGCTGCCTAAGAGTCTACCATCTTCAAATGCAGGGTTGGTGGAATTTAAAATTATGAATGAGCTGCACAGAGTAGAGAGTATTGTGAGCTAAAAAGAATATAGTAGATTAGATAGATGCCTTATGTTTACTGAAAGACCACACACCAGTTGTCTGCCAACAAATAATTTTATTTAACATATTAAAAATATAAACAGTAACAGAATGAGATAACTTATTGTCCTATTAGTTTGTTTTCAACATTTTCACTTAGTTAGCCTTTGCCTTCGGAGGTCGAGCGCCGAAGATGGTAGACCCAACTCTAACTGTAGTGGCTCCAAGTTCAATCTGTAAAGGAATAATATTAAGACGAGTGCTAGAGTTGCTTAAATGTGAATCATAATTATTATGACATGCATTTTAGAAATAATTTATCACTATGATAATTAAAATCTCATGGCCTCATCTTGGTACTGATAATGTTTCAGATTAATTACTTAAACATAAAATTAAAAACTAATTTTAAAAACTTACAGCATGTTCAAAATCACTTGACATCCCCATGGATAGTTCAACTTGATTAATATCCAAGTTGAGTTTCTGACACACCTCTTGCCTGCATTTGGCAAGGGTCAGAAAGTCTGGGTTGGGTCCTTTGGAGGTGTCATAGTCATACTGGCCAATGGTCATCAGTCCCACAAACTCTAGATTGGGGCAGTTCTTTATGACATGCTCTACTAATGTTGGTGATTCTGATGGCTCTATTCCATTTTTAGCTGTAACAATAAAGAATTTAGGTTTATAATCTACATCTTGCTTATGTTATTAATGATATCTGGTGCTGGTGAAGCTTAAAACATGTCTAAGTACAGTCAGATGTTTTACAATCTTCTAAGATTTAATTTATAAATAATTAAGGTACAAAAAAAATAGTAAAATAATTAATTTCTACTCTTTTATGTCACACTGTATTACTCAACATATTTTTGTAAATAGCAACTATCACAACTAAATAATGTACTGTTAGTGTGTAATGTGAAATCAGATGTGTTGTAAAAGAAACTATAAACATGGAAATGTAAAATAATTCTTCAATTTACCTTCTTCAGCACTTGTGTTAACCTGCACCATGACCTTCAGTTTCTCCTCTTCTTTCCTGTACTTTACCCATTGCTTATTTACGTTATCTGCTAGTTTCGCTGAATCAATAGTCTCCACCATGAACAATCCCGGTGAACCGAGCAATTTGTTGATCTTGTTTGTTTGCAAATGCCCTATAAAGTGCCATTTGATTTCTTTACATTTCTCAAGAATTTGTGGATCGCTGGCCTTTTCTGCCAGTTCATTTACATAGTTTTCTCCGAAGTGTCTTTGGCCACCCTCGTAGGCCTGTATGATGAGAGCTGCTGGTTTTATCTTAGATACTGCCACAAGCCTTGGTGCTATTTGTGGTAGGTCCTGAAAAAAACAAATGAATATAGCCCTGAAAATTCATATGAAAAAAATAGTAAGAAAACAAATTCATTTTTAGTATAGAAGCTGATAATAACATAATGTGAAAGTTTGTGTGATTACGGAATAAAAAGTCATAAAGGTTAATATTTCTAGAACAAATGGAATGACTTATCTCAGAGAAGGTACCTACTCAGAGCTACTCAGTATGAGCCCACATTTCAACCACTTTTTAAGTAGGTTGGTCATTATAACATAAACTCATGATTAAGATATGTACGGGTAGTATTAGTATTTATTCTTGGTATTCTTTAATTAAATACTTTAATCGATGCAAACAACTCATACATTTAACATTCATAAGAACAATTTCCTCACCTTACTCCTACGGCTTACTGCTGCCTCAATTTGAGTTAACACAGTTTTCAAGCCGTACATTACGTCGATTTCAAGGTCGTCTTCAGCAGACATAATTGAAAATAGGAACAAAATCACAACTATTTTAGGTTGTTTACAACAAGTGATAACTCTCTAAACCACAGATATGGATTAGAGTAGATACAGCAAGTTGATCGTCAAAGCGTGCCATTCCGATATGTCCAAATGGACATACATGGTCGAGTGATGTTCATGTAATCCGATTACAACAATCGGGTACGATGATTTTACGAGGACAGTAGTACGAACACGGTAGAAAGAAGAAATTATTTACGGATTGAGAATTGTAATTAACAGCACAAGTAACAAATAATTAATTAGAATAAAGTAGCAGTAGAAGAAGTATGAAGTAGCATTGTTTTAATACATATCGTGCGATCGCGATGTACTCTTAAGAGTTAAAACCATGTTCCCTGTATGTGATGCACTCAATGTCAAGGAACCGTATTTTATGAAACTAGGTCAGGTACTAGGATATTTTTAAAAGTATGAAATTAAGTATGAATTACTAGTACTATTTAACATAATGGAATAACGATCACTACTTTGATATACGCACAATAAAAATATGATTTGCAAATTAATAAGAAAATTTATAATACAGAATTTATTTTAATCCACAGTTATACTAGCTATAAATAACAAAATATCAGTTTTATCGGAATTAATTAATTGTCGAATCGAGTCACACGATATATTTCGATGACTTTGCGAATGCAGTACGATGATACGATTATTTTTACATTGCGGCAATCACTAAAATTCGCTAAAATGACACTAATGACGTTTAAAAAGTGGCACGCTCGGCTTCATACAATTTTTGACACATGCTGCATCTATCCATATCTGTGCTCTAATCTGTGAGTGTGATAAGAATTATTGAATGAACGAAAAATGATAATCAGTGACAGTTCAAGATATAAAGGTATCACTACACCAAATATAGGTAGCGCCCGCGAGCAACTACTTTTGGATGAAAAATAAAAATAACGTTTTTGAAAGCCTAGGAGATCTGAAAATTAATTTAACTTTATACCTGACTGCGTCAAAAGGAGGGTATGAATACACGGTTCCATAATTATTATTAAGTTTATAGAATTTATTTTCCTTGCAGACTTATAAACTTAACTCGTCTATAAAACATCAGAACATTTTATTTTTGTAGGCATGAAGTAATATCGGAATTGCTGCTAATTGACTTCATAGTATCAAGGAATTTAGACTACCTCCAGTGAGAGTACTATGAGATTGCAGCAGTAGCTTTCAGTGGAATTGCAGCATAAAGATTGACAGATTCTTTCGCAACGCCGAATGAATGAATGATTGTATATTTGTGTGCACAGATATGGACTCTAATCCATATCACAAAATATAACAGAAGGTAAACTCATGTATGTACCTCGCTTTGCATACCTCTCTCGCTCGCACGCTCGGCCGTCGCGCCAGGGTTGTCTTGTCATGTGTTGCGTTTATTTCGTTATGATAGAAAAATGTTACTCTTAATACTATGTAAGAAAGACAATAACAGATATCCACGTATACTTATTTATATTTAGTACGTTATTATAGTAATAGTTTGCAAACAAATACACGAGAAGGAAGTAGTATTTAGTTGAGTGGTTGACACTATTATCCAACTAATATTATAAATGCGAAAGTGTGGATGTCTGGATGTTTGTTGCTCTTTCACACAAAAACTACTGAACGGATTTTGATGTAACTTTACAGTATTATTGTTTATAACCCTGAATAACATATAAGCTATAATTTATGACGATCTGTGACAAACTAAATTTCACGCGGGTGAAGCCGCGGGCAAAAGCTAGTTATCCAATAATTCCTAAAACCTCTCTAAAACAATTTGATATTCCTAATAATTGAGTTGGCTTTCAATTTCAATTGAAATTCAAATAAATAACTTACTTACCTCCCCGAATCAACTGGTAATTTAAAAAATGAAAATTCGGTATTAAATTTAATGATGAGTTTAAGCAACCAAATACCGAACAATTATAATACGGCTTTTTCTGTTCACTCATTTTCGTCAATTTCGCAAAACAAAATAATATCACAGGCGGTTGACCGGCGCGTGACTCAAGCGAACCACATCGAACGTGTGGCGAACGTCTGTCGCGCCACGTCGCGCTCGCATTCGTCCAAGACAGTCTTGCTTGGAGCGGTGTCTATGTGTGCGTGGCTCGAGCGCGTTTAGTATGGAGTTTGTCTTCTGTTATATTTTGTGTCCATATTCTGTGGATATGGATCTACTCTAATCCATATAAATCTGTGTTTGTGTGTGTGTTTTTTTTATTATAATTTAATTTTGGATTAATTAAATAAATTTTAACATATTCCTCAAAATAATATTAATACAAATTTATTTTTATGGAAATTTCTCAATACAATACAAAACACTTGGCTCTATTTATTAATTTTAGTTGCAAGGTTGCAACCATTTTGTTTCTGAACGAACTCGTAATGTCAACATTGTCAACACAATTGATTTTCCCTTTTTACGTTTTGCATTTGCCTCTTCTGCGATTGTAATTCAGATTGAAAACATTGATAGTTATGCTTGATTTGCCTTTTTTGAACACCGGCTGACACCGAAGCAGCCATGAACGTGTTGGAGAAGGCCGAAAAGGCTTTGGAATATTTGAAAAACAACGAAGGTGCAGCGAAGTGAGTTGGTCGATATTCCTTTGAAGTTCAGGGTCTTGTTGTGTTTTTGTAGTGACGTTCATGTTTTTTGCAGGAGTCATGAGCTGCAGACAGCGGCTGGGACCTTGGGCCGGTGTCTAGGAGCGCTAGGGAGCCGCCCGAATTGCGCTAGACACTATGCAAATTTGTTGCACACGGCGATACCCACATTGCTATCTTTGGCAAGCAATGACAGTGTAAGTGAATGGTTGTACAGCCTTTGCGTTACGCTTCGTTGATTCTGATATAAATATCGACTTTACAACAGGAAGATAGTCTGGTACTGTTTAATTCCTAGCACCAATGCACCAGAAAAAACAAGGTTTTCAGTAGGCATGGAAATGATTGCTATTTTTCATTCTATGAAATGATGATTTTTTTTCATATGATTTCACATGCGAAATTTCACAGGCAATGATTTTTATTCGCAGTGTTTTAATGTAGCTCTTTCATAATGTGCTACTTTTAATGAAGTATGAATTATGATGAAGGATTGCTAATTAGCTTAAATATGAAATGTAACAATATCTGTTTCATTTATGTCGCGCAACAAAAAACAAACAGTTTCACAGCACATTGATAACCGCGCGACTAATGAAACTCATTCATTTCATCTGCCTGCTATCTAATGAAATCACACGAATCATGACAAGGAAATCTAAACCTTACACCTTTGAGTTTAAAGTTCATATTTAAAATGCCCAGATTCGTCCGTCATCACATCTCTTGTCCTTTTCTAACACGCACATGATCAAATCATTCCTTCTTACTCGCTCGGTCGCTTCGCAGAGCTGCGCTCACGAACTTCGCTCGAATGAATGAATGAAATTCATGTGAAATTATAGCAGTCTATGTGAAGTAAAATAGCAGGTGTGATTAATGAAATTCATTTCATATGATTTTTCACCTGCTATTCATGAAATGTTCCATGCCTAGTTTTCAGCCTGCTGGCTACTCCTAAAACGTTGAGACTTTAAACTTGATGTCTCTTTTTCTTGTTCTATTAATTGCTAAAGTCATTATGTCTCATTGTGATCAGTCTTAGGAGTGTGAGGCATTAATATTATTATTGTTAGATAGATAGGGAATATACAGGGTGTTTGGCGGAAGGTTAGACAAACTTCGTGGGTGTATAGGTAAGGTCATTTTAATAATACAAGTTTGCCCCTTTTGACCCTAAGAAATAACGCGAGAAAAAATTTCGGAAAAAATAAAGACAAAAATTTCAATTAAAAAAAATTTTGCTGACTTAGGGTCAAATGGGCAAACTAATCCCAACTAATATTATAAATGCGAAAGTAACTCTGTCTGTCTGTCTGTCTGTCTGTCTGTCTGTTACGCTTTCCCGCTTAAACCTCGCAACCGATCTTGATGAAATTTGGCATAGAGATAGTTTGAGTCCCGGGAAAGAACATAGGATAGTTTTTATCCCGGTTTTTGAAACAGGGACGCGCGCGGTAAAGTTTTTCTGTGACAGACAAAATTCCACGCGGGCGAAGCCGCGGGCGGAAAGCTAGTATTCTTATAAAATTACCTTATACCATACACCCTGTATATTTCTTATTTTCCTTCCTTCAATAGATTTCCTTATTATATCTTTGTATTACAGGCAGAAGTACGTCTAGTTGGTGATGAGGCACTGAACAGAGCTGTGGTGGGTGGTTTTGCGTTTCACTCGCACAAAACCAACATTATACTGCAGAATCAGATTGACACTACAAGAAATGCAAGGTCAGTAAAATGTACATAATAATAATATACAGGATTTCTCAAGGATCTTCCAGTCATTTTGTTTTGTTAAAAAATTGTTACTACATAGCTCTAAAAATTATGAAGACAAACAGTGTAAAACTTGATAAAACTAATTCGTTTACACTTAAAAGCTAATTAGGCTAATACTAAGACAATTATGACTCTGTCATTAGTCATATTGTTGATATAACATACTGATTTATCTTTATTTTGATGATACTGATTGTTAACGTATTGTGCAATTTCCTCGGTTGTACATGAGCACGTAGAATTTCATTCAATGACCCCAAGCTACCCATCTTTATCGCTCGCGCGTAATTATATTGCTGGCGACTGCAGTGAGTGTGCGAGCGCGACAGCAATATAATAACGCTGGGTGGGTAATTTGGGCACATTGGACGTAATTCCACGTGTTCGGCGACCGGGTTACTTTAGTTACTGTAGTTACTTTGGTTACTTTAGTCATTCCCGTTTTCCACACACACAAAAACATCTCTTATCTGTAAAACAATAGTGTTTTTTGCTTTACAGATGGATACGCGCAGCTCTGTCCCGTGTTTGTCTCGGCGACTGCTGGCTCCGTCCCGGGCCGGGCAAGATCAGGTCCCAAGCGCAGACTCTGTTCCCGAAACTCAGCCAAATAGTCAGGCAGACAAGCGAAATACAACTAATAGTGGAAGCGCTAGAGAGCAGTTTGCCTCGCATACTCATTGCTTTGGCTGAGTATACCACTGATGAGGAGATCTCAGGTTTGTTGGAGTAAAACTTTTTTTCTGTGATCATATTTTTTTATTCACATATATACTTTTATGAATAGGGGCTTAATATTATTTATTTACAATATTTTCAGTACTAAATAAAAAAAAAATTGTTACAACTTTCGTTCGTTCGTTTCAGCCAAATAACGTCCACTGCTTGACAAAGGCCTCCTCCAAGGTTTTCCACAATGCACGGTCCTGCGCTGACCGCAACCAGGCACTTCCCGCGACCTTTACCAGATCGTCGGTCCACCTAGTAGGAGGCCTGCCCACGCTACGTCTTCCAGCCCGTAGTCGCCCGAGAACTTTTCTGCCCCAACGGCCATCATCTCTACGAGCTTGATTTTAGCAATTCTGCGAGCTATGTCGGTCACTTTGGTTCTCCTGCGGATCTCCTCATGTTACAACTTTATAACTGTTAAAAATTACATATTATTTATAAGTAAGGCAGAGACATCTTGTGACAAGTCTGGCAACACCTTCCATCTTGAAAAACCACTATTCGAAAACTTACTAAACTATACTAGTGCAATGACGTCATTTAATATGTCAACACATCAAGTAACGTCACGAGATTTTACTAAAGACATGAAGTACAAATTCGTCATTTTAATAAGCCAAACATTTTATCCTTTACAGAGTTGTCAAAGGCGCTTCTCTCCCACGCCGAGTCGTCGGAACCTGCGGTGCGGCGTGGCGTTTCGGCGTGCGTAGCGCAGTTATGTGCGAATAGGGAACCATTGCTCACAAATGTACTGGCCAGAGTTTTCGGTAAGTTACTTCTCTATTACATGGACTACAATCTCTCTCTCATACAAGGGGGCAGGGGTACAACAAACCTCTTGTGTCTCTCTCTCACGTGGACAACAAAGGAAGAGAGGGATGCCAACCCCCTTGTTTCCCTCTAATGTGGACAGCAAAGGAAGAGAGGGATAACAAACCTTATACGGCATTTCGCCGTGCGTGTTCGGTAAGTTTACTTCTTACTTTCTTCTTACGTGGACTACAAGGGATTCTCTCTCAGCCGGCGGAGCGAGCGTGGCGCAGTTATGTGCGCATAGGGAACCGCTGCTCACAAATGTACTGGCCAGGGTTTTCGGTAAGTTACTTCTCTATTACATGGATTACAAAGGGTGACAACAAACCCCTTGTTTCTCTCTTACATGGACAGTATTGGACAGCTAAGGGAGAGAGGGACAAAAACCTCTTGTTTCTTTCTCACCGCGTCTTCAAAAGGGGTAGGACAAGAAACCTCTTGTGTCTCTCTCACAGGACTACAAGGGTGAAGGCAATAAACCTCTTGTTTCTCTCTTAAGTAGACAGCAGTGGGAAAGAGGAACAACAAACCCCTTGTTTCCCTCTCACGTGGGCTACAAGGGAGAAGTGGGACAAAAAACTTCTTGTTCTTCTGTTTCACACGGCACTTCGCCGTGCGTGTTCGGTAAGTTTACCTCTTACTTCGTATACTGCAAGGGGGAGGGGAACAAGAAACCTTGTCTCTCTTGCGAGGACTACAAGGGTGAGGGAAACAATAAACCTCTTGCTTATCTCTTCCGCGGAATAAAAGGGGGGGAGGGAAAACAAATCACTTGATTTTCTGTCACACAAACTGCAACAGGGGAAGGGGACAACTAACCCCTTGTTTCTCTCTTAAGTGGAAAGCAGAGGAAGAGAGGGGCAACAACCCTCTTGTTTCGCTCTCACCTGAGCTACAAGGAGGGAGGGGGACAACAACTCTTACGCGAACTACAACGAAGGAGGGAGACTACAAACATCTTGTTTCTCCCTCACGCGGGCTACAACACAAAGTCTTGCTATCCTCTCACACCGAGTCTCCGAAGTAGTCCGATCAACAAAGCTTTTAACAAAAACAACAAAGTAACCCGAATACGTTTTCTTTTCGACAGAGAAACTCTGGCCAACTTCGACTGATAACGCGACAGTGATGGGCTGGTTTTGCGTGATCAAAGCCATATTCCAACTGAACGACATAACCAAGTTCACTGAAAACGAACTGTTCACTGTACACGATTATTTGGAGGTAAGTGGATAGAAAAGATTTTTGAATATTGCTTTAATGCCTTTGTGATCCAAAGGCTCACGATATAACAATATGCTCAGTTCTATTTCTAAGTAATACAGCCTTGACAATCACCTAGCTATTTAGTGCTTTAAACGGTAGTATCTAAAATGTGACAAAGATACCGAAGTGGTATGCAAGCTGTATGTGCTTCATGTAAAATGGTTTTGAAAAGGGCCTGCATAATCTATACTAATATTATAAATGCGAAAGTAACTCTGTCTGTCTGTCTGTCTCACTTTCACGCCTAAACCACTGAACCGATTTTGATGAAAGGATGATGGGCACAAANTTATCCCAACTAATATTATAAATGCGAAAGTAACTCTGTCTGTCTGTCTGTCTGTCTGTCTGTCTGTTACGCTTTCCCGCTTAAACCTCGCAACCGATTTTGATGAAAGGATGATGGGCACAAATGTATGGAAAGTGGTACCCGCTCCAATAGCCATAACCAATATATATTTCAAAAGGCCTTTAGATGTAGGAAAATATCTGCTATGTGGCCAGTTCTAATTCACGTTTTGAAAGCAGTAATTCCACTAAGTATTATAAGAAAATATAACACATCATCCATGTATACGAGTATGTACTATGACTACAATCAATTCATATAACTTAAAGAAGCATTGAAAAGGAAAGNTCTTGTGGGTTTATTCGCTTTAGCAACCCATAATAAAACCCTTAAGAAGTAATAAAACTTTAACCCCTTTATTAATAAAAGTTACACCCTAGTTGAACTCTGGCTTAAATTGTCATTTGGTATGGAAATATCATTTTAATCCAAGGTTCTTCCTAGGTGTAACTTTTTATTAATAAGGGGGTAGTACTACTTTAAATAAAAATATTTATTTCACAATTATTATCCCCATCAATAATTATGTTAAGGAAGCATGCTGGATCAGTAAACCCTTCCTGCCTGGCATAACCTAAGTAACATACGATGGACACGTATGATACTTCTTCTTCCTCGGTTCCTCACTGATGAGGATCGCGACCACAGATAGTGTTCCTCCACAGACTGCGGTCATAAGCTGTGTGGACCGCACGATACAAACTCCCGCCCACCGTTTGCCTCACCGCGTCCGACCATCTCATCGGTGCCCTGCCCCGAGCGCGTCTGTCTTCCATACTGTATGATACTTAGGTTACACAAAAAGTATCTTTATCTTCGAACGCAACCAGATCTGAGGCTGGTGGCCATAGTAAATGTTGTTCGTCTTGGTAAGACCTTTCAAATGACACTACAAACATAACTATTGGAGCCGGGTACCATTCTGCTAAAAGTATGTATATCTTCGTACACAACCAGATCTGAGGCTGGTGGTCATAGTAAAAGTTGTTCATCTTGGTAAGACCTTTCAAACGATACTAGACACATATCTATTGGAGCCGGGTACCATTTTGCCCATTGTCCTTTGGCACAGAGATAGTTTGAGTCCCGGTTTTTGAAACAGGAACGCGCGCGATAAAGTTTTTCTGTGACAGACAAAATACCACGCGGGCAAAGCCGCGGGCGGAAAGCTAGTGATGAATAATTTAAATTGTGAATGAAGTTTCTGGTAAAGATATGAATAATTTATAATTATGATAAATACGCAACAATTAATTTCGAAATTTTCAGCTATACAACCTCTGCATCCACTACATAGAACAGACCACAAACGACCACAACATCCAGAATGCAGTCTTGGAATGCCTCATGACCATACTATCTCAGGCTACTGGCGAGTACAGGAAGGCTTTGTTGGAAAAACACCCGATTCTCGTCAATTTAGACCAGAGACAAACGGATAAAGGGCACAGGAGGAATATTAGTAAGTGTTTGTGGTTTAGATTAGCTATAAATAAGTGGTATGAAAAATATCATGACAAATGCAGAGGCCTTCATATTTTAAACTTTATAGCTTTTATGAACAATCAAGAAGTAAAACATTTAAAAATGTAACTGAAACTTTACAATATTGTGTTGTTGTATTTGCACATGAAATATCGTATAGTAATCTGTCTCAGGCATTTGACCATGTAGGACTTCTTTCAACCTGTTAACTAATTTATCTAATTTAAGCCAAATTATTCATGTATTATCTCAATCACGGTTTAAGATACATAATTAACATACAATTAATATGTAGAAATAAATAAGGGGTACTGAAAGGGTCACCTCTAGGTCCATATCTTTTACTTGTTAATTTTAATTTACAAACACTATATTTACCAGGTTCAACCAGCATAATATCAACTCGCTACGTGCCCAGTCCATCGTCAGAGCCAAGAGATCAGATGGAACTGTCCTTCAGAGGAGAACTACAGCTGGGAAGCTTGCTACAGTTGAATACGCCGAGTTTCAGCGTTGAGGACTTGAGTATACAGGTTAGAATGATTTTTAAAAATCTGTTTTGTTCGTTTTACACGAACATTTTCTTATGTTATTACATTACTTTGAAAAAATGATGTGTAAAAATTGGCTGAAAGAGTAATTACATACGACAGTAACAAAAATATTTGATAGATGTGATGTTGGTCAACAAAAAAGATTAACACTGGTTCAAAATTATGTTTTAATACAAAACCACAAAATTATTATTACTGACGGGATTGCTACCATGTACCTTAATTTTGAGTTTCCGATATTTCGTCACTGTTGCAAGCGCCATGGTCACGGAGTAAATGAAGAAACTTGCGGGTGAGATGTTATGGGCAGTTTCGGTCTACCATCTTTCGCAATCTTTTATTACTCAATCCCGTCAGAAATAACAATTTTGTTAGTGACCATGAAAGTTTAAAATAATATATTACAAAACCACAGTTTAAATTCGTGTTCAATTTGCGTATATTTTTTTATAAGTAAAGGCGTTGTCTCTGATAATATAGGGTACTGTTACAGTACATAATAAATGACCTAATGATTAAGGGAACAAAGCTCTCACATAGATATTCTAATTCCCGCTTTTTCAAATCAATTCAGACACCAGACTCCCCAGCAAGCGAAAACGACATACCGATACCGTCAGCAGATCAACTATCTAAAGATCTGACGGAGAAACTCCAGGAATTCGAGGAGTATGAGAAGGAAAGTGACCAGGGTGACGCGGTCGAGCAAGTCATGGGAGGAGCTGGATTCAAGGTCAGTAGGCCAAACCCACAGAATAATAATAAGTACTACGTACAGAAGTTTTACTTCGCGAAGGTATTTAAAAAAATGTATGCTCAATGTCATTAACAATATAGTGTAATTTAGCTTGTCTCAAGAGTCAAGCACCATTTTGTTGACAAACGTCAGTGATCGGCACTGCGCCGAAGCTATAGGGCTGACTTCGGTAAAATGATGTGACGTGAGGTGCCAAACTGCGGAAAATGGCAGAGGAAATACATGATTTAGAATGAATTATCATGAATAATATTAATTGCTTATTTACCTCTCAGTGTCTTGAGGCAACTTAAAAAAGTACATTCTGTGTTTTTATTATTATTTAGGCAGTTAAATACTGCACAGTATTTAGTACACCATTTTCTTTATTTTTTTCCATCATACACAAGAATATGCGTGCGTGAGTCAATGTTCGCTCGTATGTGAGGCCTTGTCGAATAGTATCCTGTAGGTGGGCCATCGTGCGTGTTTTGTTTTCGATGTAAACTCGCGGAGATGAACAGGCCTGGTAATATGCCCAAAAACAGAACACATTGCTCGCGACAGCAATGATGACAGCAGCGACGTCATAATGTAAACAGTTTACATTGCTTGCGTAGCACTAAAGATTATTCGAACGTTTAGTACTGATACCGCAGTGGATAATGAGCACATATTTTGATTACTTTGTGTGTGTGAATTTCTTATGTGACACTGAGTTTCATTCAAACTCAGCGCATTAGTTGGCATCTCTCTGTCTCTATGACCAAACCCGAAACGAACTATGTCGCTGACATATCCCGACGGATTAGCAAGCTGAAGTGGCAATGGACAGGGCACATAGTAAAGCTCATAAAACACATTTGTTTCTGTAAATAAGCTTAAAAAAGCACTTTTACACGTCCCAGTATTAACCCTACCACTGCTTCAGGACAATAAATGGGCCAGTGCTGAGAAGAAGCAGCGCAAGAAACTCAGTCATTATTGTCAGCCTCTTTTTCAAAGGTTTACAGGCTTTAAAAACACATAGTTAAAAATACATAGTACGCAGAACTGACGGCCGATGGGGCAGCAACGGAAAGCGCAGCGTGTAACTTGAAATGTCGAGTAAAAGTATGCAAAAAGGATCCTTAAAATCATTAAATTTGGTTGTTCTACCACAATATAATTACCGTTGACCGCTTGCATACCTATCATTTGCTTTCAGCTTCTTTTCTGTTCTGCAAAGTGTGTCTTCTCCCTGGCACAGTTCATCTATGGCGCACTTACTTATTAAGTGCGCTTTCCAAAAATAATCACGAATATTTATATTTATTAATTAATCGACTTCAACAAAGGATGAGATTATTTATAACTAGCGTACATCGAAATATGCCAGTCTTAAAATATCAAATTTAATCTCCAGTATATCTAAAATTGTCCAAATTCAAATGATATCGCGAATTAAAACCGAACAGTGCCATCTATCGGAGCTTCTGACACCGACAAAGAAACTGAGAGTGTCATGTAAGTTGATTGAGTAGATGGCGCTGTGAAACCTGTTTGAACTTATTGGCGTGAAAGCGAAACGTCAAGTCTGGCAGTTTTGGTTGCCAAACTACTCGCGAAGTTGAACGAAGTAGGGAGTGTGAACACGCACTTCGCTTCTAACAACCTCGACTCATCTCTCCCAACTTCCGATTGTCGGTAAAGGGCCCGAGTAAAGGATCCGAAGCGTTTTAGGCGTAGTTACACTATGCGCGAAATTGATCGAGTCAGTGTAAACTCGCAGTTCGGTTCGTTTTTCCGTGCGACGCCCAAACTTCTGAGTGTTACGCTTCTGTTCGACCAATTTCTCGCAGTGTAACTGCGCCAATGAAGTTTGAACACGAAGTGTCTCACTCCTTCGGTATTTCGTCAAAGCGCCTAAGCGAGTAGTGTATAGGTATAGGAATAGAGAAGTTTAGTATAGGACTAGATGTTGTTACTTCGATAGTATGTGTAGAGGAAGTTAACCCATTAACGCCCGCCGTACAATAATTTGTACACAACTTTAAGTTACGATAAATCTGATTAAGAGGGTATTTTAACTCTGGAAATAATTCCAACCGGTAAACGAAGGTCTATGCATTACATCCTAAGATGAAACAGAACATAATTATAAAATCTTAAGGGGGTATTTTACGATTACGTTTCAGTGATTTTTTCGTATCTCCTAGTGGATAGTTGACAATTTTTTATACAAGGTTTAAGTTACACAAAATACCGAATAAGTTGTTAGTGTATTAGCTAACAACATATCCTAATAAAAAATACATAAAAATGTTCATTTCATGGAAAGTTTTTTATGCTATAACTCCCAAAGTGATGCTGTACTAACTTTAGTACAATGGGCGCTTGACATGTTACGTAAAATAGTAAAATAATGACATTATTATTAGAGTGTTTACTAATTTCTTCATTGTTCTTGTATGTAATCTTTATTTTCTTTTTCCAATAACATGGCTCTTTATGTATAGGGTTACAGACAACAAAAAGAAACATTTTGTTTTTCCAATTACGACCTGTTTGTCGACCTAAAGAGACTTAGTTACATAGTTTTTGGAACCATACGTGACAGCAGAACCAAACGGTATCCTTTGATTACTTATAAAGATTTTCACAAAAAGCCTAGTGATATGGCCACCTTCCAGCTCCATCATCAGATCAGCTCCATGTCATCATAATATTGCATGGTCATCCAAATCACATGTGTTTGCGAAATTTCAGCTTAATCGGTTGCCTGGAAGTGGGTCTTAATTCAGTTTGCAAGATTCCACCCATACAAATATGAGCCAGTCGTTGTAATATGACGTCACGCGCATAAAATGGCGGGCCGGCCGCCGCCCGCACTTTTAAAATTCAATATCTTGGAAACTAATTGACGTATCGAAATAATTCTTTCACGTGTATTTTTTATTTTTAACAGAGAATACAGAAAGCTAAAAAACAAAATTAGTGAACATTCTTCATTATGAACGGATTTCCAATTTTTTTTTCTTCGATAGGGTATACTCCCGAGGTAGTCCCACGGTCACAAAGTCAGGGTTTGATGATAGGATCCTAGGGAAATCGATTGCCCTCGAATGATGGTGACCAGTCGTAACACAAGTACATTTTAACACAACGGTTCTTAAAAAAACCCTTAATGTTTTATCAATCTTTATTTTTATTTACTTACAGATAAACATTGGTGCGTCTACTGATGAGGACGTGCCTCTGAAATACTGTTCCAGACTGCTCGCCTCCAAGTACTTGCTGGCTGGAAACAAAGGCGATCTTATACATGACCGGTGAGTGTTTTATGAAAAGAAATCAAAATAAAAAGAAAAGATTTTGATTTTGATTTGCTGGCTGGAAATATAGGCGATCTTATACATGACCGGTGAGTGTTTTAAAAAGAAATAATGTAGGTCGCGCAATGAAAGTTGAGACTGTCTTGCGTAGTCGAACTGACAGTGCTTTCTGTCTCGCTTGCAGACATTTAACAAGAGCGAGGTAGCTATAGTTGTTGCAATTCACGAAGGCGAGTGAGCTTTACATGTGTGGTGGCTCGCTACTGTTCGTTTTTTACCCACGGAATTGGAATGGAATGGAATGTTTAACTACCTAGCTCGCATCACTTATGACTATAATTTGTATATTTTAAAGACTGTAAACCCTTGAAAAGGAGGCTGACAATAGTGACTGAGTTTCTTGCGCTGCTTCTTCTCAGCACTGGCCCATTTATTGTTCCGAAGCAGTGGTAGGGTTAATATTGGGACGTGTAAAAGTGCTTTTTTAAAGCCTATTTGCTAAAATAAATGAATTTTATGAATTTTAATTTTAACGGCGACTTTCTGTAGCGATGTAGTTGCGTTGCTGTAGCGCTTTGGCATCACTTCTGTAGTGCGTTGTAAATGCGACTAACGCGGCTTAGTAGCGATGCTCGCCGTGGGCGAGGTCCCTTATACCACAGAATAATAATATGTACTACGTACAGAAGTTTTATTTGGCGAAGGTATTTAAAAAAAAATATGCTCAATGTCATTAACAATATGGTATAATTTAGCCTGTCTCAAGAGTCAAGCACCATTTTGTTGACAAACGTCAGTGATCGGCACTGCGCCGAAGCTATAGGGCTGACTTCGGTAAAATGATGTGACGTGAGGTGCCAAACTGCGGAAAATGGCGGAGGAAATACATGATTTAGCATGAATTATCATGAATAGTTAATATTTAACTACTTATTTACCTCTCAGTGTTTTGAGGCAACTTAAAAAAGTACATTCTGTGTTTTTATTATTATTTAGGCAGTTAAATACTGCACAGTATTTAAGTAGTACACCATTTTCTTTATTTTCTTCCATCATACACAAGAATACGCGTGCGTGAGTCAATGTTCGCTCGTATGTGAGGCCTTGTCGGATAGTATCCTGTAGGTGGGCCATCGTGCGTGTTTTGTTTTCGATGTAAACACGCGGAGATGGACAGGCCTGTTTATACTATCTTTATGTGCATGTACACACACAAGTAAATCTCACTCGCCTTCGTGAGTTGCAAGAACTATAGTGTATTCGACATTGTACTTCTTCTTCTCAGCACTGGCCCACATGTTCGTCCCGATGTAGTGGTAGGTTTTGACCGGGACTTGTTGCAAGCTTCTAAAAATAAATAAAACCTAACTACTAAAAAGTTACACGCTTGTTGAACACTGTTTTAAAATGACATTTTCGTACTAAGCGTCACTTTAAATCACTTCAACGACCGTGTAATAATGTTATTATACAGAGATAAAACTCTTTCACAGGACTGTAAGAGTGTCAGTGAAGTCATCAGCATTGAATTGTCTATCAGAAATACTCAGGCTGTTTCCTCAAGCTATGACCATGTACTTGGACAAGGATGCCGATATCAAAACCCACAATATTTCTGGTAAGTTTGTGTTGTCAATCAGCAATATTATGTATTTACTGATCAGCAGCTTGGCAGGGGTTTTGTGGCGTCAAACGTCAGTGAGACTTTATTTATTTATTTATTTAAAATCTTTATTGCACACATAAAAAACAGTGGTACAACAGGCGAGCTTAATGCCATGTGGCATTCTCTTCCAGCTAACCAGAAAATTAGACAAAACAGAATTTAAGTAGGCGGTGCAAAATAGTACAAATACAAAAAAAACTTATACTAATATAATACATAAAATATTATAATATATTAATACAAAATATGTACCTACATAAATACATACATATACATAATATACGGTGGATAACGAGAAGGTTTATGAGAGATCAAGATGACGAGATACGTTCAAGGAAATGCTTGCGCACAGAGTATTTAAACACATACTTGCTGGGAGCCTGCCTAATGTTCTCGGGAAGAGCGTTCCAAAGGCGAATAGATTGGAGAAGGAATGAATTGGAGAGGAAACCAGTGCGGTGGGATGGGGTAGAAAGAAGAAGTTTGTTGGAGGAACGAAGTTGCCTTACATGAGTTGAACTTAAAAGAGTATACTGAGATTTAAGGTAGGAAGGAGCATTAGGGTCATTTAAGATGGTAAACTTTTAAACTGCGATCTCCAACACGCCTGCCAAGCGTGGAGATTATGGCAAAACCCTCCACTATAATGGAGGAGGCTCATAGTCCAGTAGTGGACTGTAAAGGGCTGTTGATGATAATGATGAAGATGGTAAAAAGTGTAGTGAGAATTCTGGCATTACGCCGTAGAGGAACAGGTAGCCATTTGAGCTCAGATCGGTAGGAGGAGATGTGGTCATATTTACGTAGACAAAATATGAACCGGATGCAACTGTTGAGAAGGCGGTCCAGTTTGTTAAGGAAAACTTGATTAAGGTCCGGATAACACACATCAGCATAATCTATGAGCGGGAAAATTAGGGCGTGAACAAGTAAAATCTTGGTTTTGACAGGAAGGAAATATTTTAATCTGCAAAGAGAACGCAATGTGGCAGTGACCTTCCGGCTAATCTCTGAGACCTGAGTCGTCCAGCCAAGAGTATACAGCCAACTTTAAATGCTCCGTTACGCAAAAATATGTCAATGTCACCACCTCTTCCGTGTCGCTCCCATACCACAGGCATTAATTCAGTTTAGCGTTAGATCTATAAAAAACACTGGCACACCCAGTATAAATCATTCTTATTTCATCGTCATTAATTGATTGCTTATTATTTTCAGGATCGTCAGAAGGCACAGACTCCAACCAAGACCACATAAACGACTTCATCTTAGAACGAAACGTGTGCTACCAAGATTCCTTAACTGATTCCCTTAGCCAAGACCTACTCAACCGAAGCTGTGATTCTTCCCAACCCATCTCAAAAAAGGAATCAAAATCATTAGAGAAATCTCAAGACAGCTTAGAACCGAAAAGCTCTTCCAAAGATGTCCAAAGCGCGATCCTGGATAGCAAAGTGTACGCGAAAAACGACCTTGGTGCAAGCGAAATAAGCGCTGATAGTACCAACCCCAACATGACCAATAGCAATTTCACAACGAATTCAAATATGACTGGTAGCAACACAGGCTATCCCATGTCGAGCAGTGGAGATATACTGTCTTCTAGCATAGATTTGGACATGAAATTCGACCATTTCGGCGAATCGACAACTAATTTGGACAACCTTGACGCGTTTAGGGATTTGGAAAAGAGAGAGGAAAGGTCTAAAAGACCGTTACAGAGAACAGATGAAGTTCATAGTAAAGATGCTCCAGAAATGGTGGATAAAAGTGTCGATGCCAAAAGCGAGACGATGGATAGCAAGGAGTTTGAATTTCAGCACATGAGTGATATTATTGTTTTGTTAGAGGGTCATAATGACCCCCAAATTAGGGGGTTGGTGAGGGTCTGTATAGGGAGCTACTTGACTGCAGCCTTGGAGATATCCCATGGCGATTACCATCGGTGGAGGAATTTTAGTGTACTACCGAAGGATGTGAGCGAGAATATTTGTACGGAGAAGCTGGTTGGGATTGTGTTGAAGGTAAATATTTTGATACATATTAAAAACAAAGTTCTGTGTCTGTTTATTCGCTTATTATTAAAATAAAGAAAATTACTACTGATCGGATTTTCATGCGGTATTAAATATTGAAATTCGAAATTCATTCGGAATAAATACTATTTTCAGGTTCACGTAAGTAATATTTTAATGAATTTGTGTAGTCAGTAGTGAGTGAATTACAAAACACTGAAAAACATAATAAAAAAAAAAAGTACACAGTACAGTAAAATAGTATAAAGTTGATGCTGTTACAAAATGTCAGATAATGTTTTAGATGCTTTTGTCTTCAGTAGAATAAATTGTGAAAGATTAGTGCGGCATTCTAGTGTTGTATTAAAACAATAGTCGAACGATTATTCAAAAATAAACCTTATTTCCAGGGCCTCTCCGACGAGATTCACTCCACAGTGAACCACACGCTGTCCAGCCTGACTACTATGGCCACGGCTTTATGCAACAGTGTGCACTGGCCTTTAGTCGTGGAAGCCCTCAATACGCTGGACAGTGTAGAGAGCAATAGCTACTGGCTGTGTAGGGTGAATCTGTGTAGGCTGTACGAGAAACTGCCTTATCAGAAGTAAGTGGACTTATCATAGATCGATATTCTCTTAATAATCAGGTCGTATATTTGGCAGGTGTTTGACCGCACCTGATATTAAGTGAGATGTAAGCTAGGGTGGTACAGTCAGCGTCAAATAGTTCGTGACACCCAAAAAAGCCAAAAAGTTCGTTACACGTCTTGGTTTGTTACAATTTGATTACAGTTGTGTTGTCAACTTTTTGGTCACTTTGGTGTCACTATTGGGCGCTGACTATACATGGTTATGGAAAAAAAAATGGTCATGATGTTACTGATGTTGAATGATTTTAATTTATCTAATGAGGGCTGCCGTGTTTGTGCTCACCGGTTGATATCATGGGCAAGCATACCTGTTCAGTAAATGCTTTTTCACTCTCGCCTTGAGGCCCGGATTACGGGAAAGACTTTACTGCAAAAGGATGACCCCCACTATTTTACCAGAGGGAAATGGAGGATTTCGCCTAAACTAGCATATGGGTTGGGAAGGCCAGATATTATGGTGTGAATCTCAACTAAATATGCAGGTTGTTCCAAGTTCAAAATTATCAATTTTTTTGCAATTAGGCTTCTAAAATCGTCTGTTCACGTCCCAGTTGTTATGTTTCTTACTTTTGCTTGATTGTTTTGCAGATTGTTTATGCTCTACCCAAACTACCGGAAGAAAAGCAAACTTATAATGGACACATTGATACGCCTGTTAGCTGACCAAGATCAAAAAGTGAGGGATGCGGCGTCACAGACTATTGCCAAGTAAGTCGTCATTCTTCTACTCGTATGTTGTAGTAAGTTATAAATGGAGTTACAATTCTGATATCAGACTTTATGTGCCTCATAAGTATCTGACATAGTTCAATCAGATCGACAGCTTAACTTATCCTCTGAAGTAAGGATTTGGTTTCTTTTTCGGAAAAATCATGTTAGAATTTTCAGAATATCTTCAAGTTTTGAATGCACAGGACTAACTTGAAAGAACCTCTATTTCTTAGATGCTGTCGTAATGTCACATAACTATCTCAAATAATGAACTGCGTCGCTTAACTGAGCCAGTGCTTGAGGAATAAGAGCGGCACTGGAGGGTGTTTTGTGACGTTAAACGTCAGCGAGACTTCAGTGCTTCTTGTATGTGTGACTTGTATTCTCTGTCACGTCATATTTATTAATGTCGCCCCTCCCGTGTCGCTTCCATGCCTCAGACAATGGCGCCCATATTCACAAACGATGCTTGCTTAAGTGAAGCAGCAAATCGAACGCACTTCGTTGAATAGAGCTCTGTGATTGATTCGTGTGTCACTCTGTGCGTCCACGCGCACTGTGAGACCAGTGATGTTAGTGAATCCAGGCGTTACTCGTAGCACTACTAATTTTTGTATAGTTTTGAATGATGTTTATTTTGATTCCAGGATAATCCCAAAAATCTTCCCGCCCGCCCGCGAAACGCCCACATCAATGGCCGCCGAAATAGCGAAGCAGCACAGCAAGAAATTCATCTTCGACCATAGACAACTGTCTCTAGAATTGGTCAGAGATATGTACTTCTACAACGACTTGCCGGATCAATTCCGAGGGGGGGAGATGTTAGAATCGGTAGATGGACTGAGGAGTGTAGTGGGGGAGTTGGTGGGAAGACTAATGACTGCTAATTGTAAATATTACTCGGTAAGTATCTTATTTATAAATCCAAATACCTCAGTGCCTGAAGACGAAAGTCTTCAATCAGTGTATGTTACCAGTGATGATATACGGCTCGGAAACGTGGCCTCTCAATATAGGCCTTATAAATAAGCTCAAAATTGCACAGCGTGCTATGGAAGGGGATATGTTCGGTGTTACGAACTAAAGTCGCTGACATATCCCGACGGATTAGCAAGCTGAAGCAGCAATGGGCAGGGCACGCAGAACTGACGGCCGATGGGGCAGCAAGTTTCTGGACTGGAGGCCACGTACCTGAAAGCATATCGTAAGACGTCCACTCACAAGGTGGACCGACGACTTCATAAAGGTAGCAGGAAGGCGATGGATGCAGGCCGCTACCAACCGGGAATTATGTACATCATTGGGGGAGGCCTATATTCAGCAGTGGACGTCCCAAGGCTGAAATGATGATGATGATGATCTTATGTACAGAACAGACTACATTTTTGTTGAAATATAGCACTTATTACCATTAGCTGAAGTTTCATAATGAATTGAAGAATGGTGGGTGAGTATGACTATTGAAGCAGCTTAGAAAATGTGTCATTTTCGACCATAGACAACTGTCGCTGTAACTAGTCAGAGATATGTACTTTTACAACGACTTGCCGGACCAGTTCCGAGGGGGGGAGATGTTAGAATCGGAACATGGACTGAGGAGTGTAGTGGGAGAGTTGGTGGGACGACTGATGACGGCCAATTGTAAATATTATTCGGTAAGTGTCGTGTCCCCCTTTAGGTGGACCGACGATCTGATGAAGGTCGCGGGAAAAGCCTGGATGCGGGCAGTGCAAGATCGGTCGTTATGGAAATCCTTGGGGGAGGCCTTTGTCCAACAGTGGACGTCATTTGGCTGAAACGACGAAGTGTCGTGGGTACATATAGTAAGTACATTTGCTGCAAAATACTCGAAGATTTGACTGTGGATGTTTAGTTGGAGGTTCCGTCCTCTGTATAAGACAAATATCATCATCATCATTATCTCAGCCATAGGACGTCCACTGCTGAATATATTAGGCCTCCCCCAATGCTTTCCATGCTGCCCGGTTTGTAGCGGTCTGCATCCCGGGTCGGTCCACCTTGTGGGTGGAGTTGGACGTCCCACGCTGCGTTTTCCGGTACACGGCCTCTACTCCAGAACCTTGCTGAATACCGCTAAGAAGTAACTACGGCCGTATGAATTTTAAAATGCGTTTGTTTTACAATTTACTTTAGTTTCGAATTATAAATTGTATGCATAGTTAATATCGGAATATGGGAATGTTCATGAGGTTTACATTCTCTTTGAGTAGGTTTTTAATGATGTTGATTCAATTTACCTTCTAATAAATAAGAAATTCTATTCATAAAAACCTTTCCACTTTCACGAAGTTTATCTGCTCGCAAATTCAAAAATGTAAGTTTGTGTTATCACAACGTCTGTCTCAATATTAGTGTCTCAACGTCGGTTTCTACGTGAGCACGTAGAATCCCGTCCAATGACCCCAAGCTGCCCATCCTTGTCGCTCGCACGTAATTATGTTGCTGTCGCGCTCGCACACTCACTGCGGGCGCGCGTCGCACAGTCGCGACAGCAACATAATTACGCGCGAGCGATAAGGATGGTTACCTTGGGGTCANTCCAATGACCCCAAGCTGCCCATCCTTGTCGCTCGCACGTAATTATGTTGCTGTCGCGCTCGCACACTCACTGCGGGCGCGCGTCGCACAGTCGCGACAGCAACATAATTACGCGCGAGCGATAAGGATGGTTACCTTGGGGTCATTGGACGGGATTCTACGTGCTCACGGACCAGGTTTTAGTAGCATAATCACTTATGCTTCAACCACACCAACGTGTGCAGATGCGCGATCACTGATCATAAGGAAATGACAGGACCTTTGATCGCGCCAGCGATGGCAATCTGCACGCGTTGGTGTGGTTGAAGCTTTAAAATCATTACATTATGTGCCATTTCCATTCCAGCAAGGTCTCATGGACACACTCAAAGCGGTCTGCTCTCTCTGGTCTCCGTGGAGCAACCCGGACGCGTACTCCTCGCAGGGGCTGCTGGGCTACTGCCTGGACAGCCTGGCCTGCTGCGACGCCGCCGTCGCCGCGCGGGCCGCCGCGCTGGCCCTGTGCGCCTTCATGTACCCAGGTAATGAGCGGCTGGATGGACCGACGACCTTAGTGGTCTCCACATATACCCAGGTAAGAAACGTGGTGTACCCATCTGCTCGGTAGACCGATGAGTCTACAACGAGGAAGCTCTGGCTCCCATCTAACCTGGTGAAAAGTGACAAGGCTGAAGGTAGAAGCGAGCTTCACCTGGAATCCTCAACCAAAGAGGATCTGGCTGTCTTAGTTCTTTACTAGAACGGGACCTTTAGGTCTGAGACAGGGGGTTATTATACTACTGGACTGCCATTGGCTAATAGTGTTCTCCCAACCATAGCCATCGTGGGAGTGTAGGTGAATTCTTCCATTGGTCGCTGGTAAGTTTAAGCTGTCACGCGGGGAAACTCCGACCATAGCAAGCTCCAGTGCTCTTTGGGTGACCTTGAGCCTTCTTCTGAGATGAGACTCATAGTAAGACAGAATGAAACTAAACGACGAATTCAAGAGCTAGCTTGCTAGCGGCGGCTGGTTGAACAGACGCCATCAGTGGTGTGCAAGCTTTGCTAGATGAACAGACGCCTTCAGTGGTGTGCAAGCTTTGCTAGATGAACAGACACCCTCAAAGCGGTCTGCTCTCTCTGGTCTCCTTGGAGCAACCCGGACGCGTACTCCTCGCAGGGGCTGCTGGGCTACTGCCTGGACAGCCTGGCCTGCTGCGACGCCGCCGTCGCCGCGCGGGCCGCCGCGCTGGCCCTGTGCGCCTTCATGTACCCAGGTAATGAGCGGCTGGATGGACCGACGACCTTAGGGCGATTGTAGGCAGCTGGTTAATGAAAAAGCGAGAGAGCGTGCTTAACAGCGTTTGATGGGAGACTTACGTCTAGCCTTACAAAACACGTCAGAGCGATAGGATTAAGAATGATGATGATTCGCCGTGTAGCCATCTGCTTGATAGACTGACGACTTCAAGACATTGTAGACGGGTAGATAACAAAAGCCAGAGGGCGTGCTTTGTGGCGTATCATTGGCTAATGGTGTTCTTCCCAATCATGAGTAGCCATCATCGGAAGTGTAAGCTAAATCCTCCATTTGTCTCTGGTAAGTTTAAGAGCAGGGAAACTCCGAGCATAGCAAGCTCCAGTGCTCTTTGGGTGACCTTGAGCCGTCTTATGAGACCCATAGTAAGACTGAAAGAAACTCAAGGACGAACTCAGAGATGGCGACAAAATGACCTGATGATGATGATAAAATGTAGTTTACTACTCCGTCTGCTCGATGGACTAACGAACTCAAAACAGCTGGCAGTGGCTGGTTGAACAGACGCCCTCATTGGTGTGCAAGTTTCCCCAAGCGGGCTGTCGCCCTTTGAGTGACCTTGAGCCTTATTATAAGGTTCATCCATAGTGAGACCTAACGATAAGCTCAAGATGCTGGAAGCGACTGGATGGACAGACGCCCTCAGTGGTCTGCTCTCTCTGGTCTCCTTGTCAAGCTCAGGATGCTGGTAGCGGCTGGATGGACAGACGCCCTCAGTGGTCTGCTCTCTCTGGTCTCCTTGTCAAGCTCAGGATGCTGGTAGCGGCTGCATGGACAGACGCCCTTAGTGGTGTGCAAGCGGTGCTAGATGGACAGACGCCCTCAGTGGTCTGCTCTCTCTGGTCTCCGTGGAGCAACCCGGACGCGTACTCCTCGCAGGGGCTGCTGGCCTACTGCCTGGACAGCCTGGCCTGCTGCGACGCCGCCGTCGCCGCGCGGGCCGCCGCGCTGGCCCTGTGCGCCTTCATGTACCCAGGTAATGAGCGGCTGGATGGACCGACGACCTTAGTGGTCTCCACATATACCCAGGTAAGAAACGTGGTGTACCCATCTGCTCGGTAGACCGATGAGTCTACAACGAGGAAGCTCTGACTTCCATCTAACCTGGTGAAAAATGACCAGGCTGAAGGTGGAAGCGAGCTTCACCTGGAATCCTCAACCAAAGAGGATCTTGCTGTCTTAGTACTTTACTAGAACGGGACCTTTAGGTCTGAGACAGGGAGTTATACTACTGGACTGCCATTGGCTAATAGTGTTCTAACCATGGTGGAGAGTGTAGCACAAACCTTCCAATCGCTTCTGGTAAGTACAAGTGCAGGGAAACTCTGAGCATAGCAAGCTCCAGTGCTCTTTGGGTGACCTTGAGCTTTCTTATGAGACCTATAGTAAGACAGAACGAAACTTATCAACGAACTCAAGGTTGCTGCAAGCAGCTAGATGTAAAGACGCCCTCAGTGGTCTGCTCTCTCTGGTCTCCTTGTCGAGCTCAGGATGCTGGTAGCGGCTGGATGGACAGACGCCCTCAGTGGTCTGCTCTCTCTGGTCTCCTTGTCAAGCTCAGGATGCTGGTAGCGGCTGCATGGACAGACGCCCTTAGTGGTGTGCAAGCGGTGCTAGATGGACAGACGCCCTCAGTGGTCTGCTCTCTCTGGTCTCCGTGGAGCAACCCGGACGCGTACTCCTCGCAGGGGCTGCTGGCCTACTGCCTGGACAGCCTGGCCTGCTGCGACGCCGCCGTCGCCGCGCGGGCCGCCGCGCTGGCCCTGTGCGCCTTCATGTACCCAGGTAATGAGCGGCTGGATGGACCGACGACCTTAGTGGTCTCCACATATACCCAGGTAAGAAACGTGGTGTACCCATCTGCTCGGTAGACCGATGAGTCTACAACGAGGAAGCTCTGACTTCCATCTAACCTGGTGAAAAATGACCAGGCTGAAGGTGGAAGCGAGCTTCACCTGGAATCCTCAACCAAAGAGGATCTTGCTGTCTTAGTACTTTACTAGAACGGGACCTTTAGGTCTGAGACAGGGAGTTATACTACTGGACTGCCATTGGCTAATAGTGTTCTAACCATGGTGGAGAGTGTAGCACAAACCTTCCAATCGCTTCTGGTAAGTACAAGTGCAGGGAAACTCTGAGCATAGCAAGCTCCAGTGCTCTTTGGGTGACCTTGAGCTTTCTTATGAGACCTATAGTAAGACAGAACGAAACTTATCAACGAACTCAAGGTTGCTGCAAGCAGCTAGATGTAAAGACGCCCTCAGTGGTCTGCTCTCTCTGGTCTCCTTGTCGAGCTCAGGATGCTGGTAGCGGCTGGATGGACAGACGCCCTCAGTGGTTTGCTCTCTCTGATCTCCTTGTCAAGCTCAGGATGCTGGTAGCGGCTGGATGGACAGACGCTCTCAGTGTCTGCTCTCTCTGGTCTCCGTGGAGCAACCCCGGCGCGTGCTCCTCGCAGGGGCTGCTGGGCTCCTGCCTGGACAGCCTGGCCTGCTGCGACGCCGCCGTCGCCGCGCGGGCCGCCGCGCTGGCCCTGTGCGCCTTCATGTACCCAGGTAATGAGCGGCTGGATGGACCGACGACCTTTTGTATTCATAGTCATTTGCTAGATGGATCGACGGAATTGTTCATCTACAACGAGGAAACTCTTGGCTCCCATCTAACCTGGTGAAAAGTGACCAGGCTGAAGGTGGAAGCGAGCTTCACCTGGAATCCTTAACCAAAGAGGATCTGGCTGTCTTAGTTCTTTACTAGAACGGGACCTTTATGTCTGAGTCAGGTGGTCTTACTACTGGACTGCCATTGGCTAATAGTGTTCTAACCATGGTGGAGAGTGTAGTCCAAACCTTCCAATCGCTTCTGGTAAGTTTAAGTGCAGGGAAACTCCGAGCATAGCACGCTCCGTCGCCCTTTGGGTGACCTTGAGCCTTCTTATGAGACCCATAGTAAGACCGAACGAAACTTAGCAACGAACTCAAGGTTGCTGCAAGCAGCTAGAAGAAAAACGCCCTCAATGGTGTGCAAGTTTCTTCGAGCGGGCTGTCGCGCTTTGAGTGACCTTGAACCTTATTATAAGGTCCATCCATAGTGAGACCGAAGGACAAGCTCAAGATGCTGGTAGCGGCTGGATGGACAGACGCCCTCAGTGGTCTGCTCTCTCTGGTCTCCTTGTCAAGCTCAGGATGCTGGTAGCGGCTGCATGGACAGACGCCCTCAGTGTTCTGCTCTCTCTGGTCTCCTTGTCAAGCTCAGGATGCTGGTAGTAGCTGGATGGACAGACGCCCTCAGTGGTCTGCTCTCTCTGGTCTCCGTGGAGCAACCCCGGCGCGTACTCCTCGCAGGGGCTGCTGGGCTCCTGCCTGGACAGCCTGGCCTGCTGCGACGCCGCCGTCGCCGCGCGGGCCGCGCCGCTTCTGGTAAGTACAAGTGCAGGGAAACTCCGAGCATAGCACGCTCCGTCGCCCTTGAGCCTTCTTATGAGACCCATAGTAAGACCGAACGAACTCAAGGTTGCTGCAAGCAGCTAGTTGTAAAGACGCCCTCAGTCGTGTGCAAGTTTCTTCGAGCGGGCTGTCGCCCTTTGAGTGACCTATAGCTTTTTAAGGTCCATAGTAAGATCGAAGGACAAGCTCAAGATGCTGGTAGTGGCTGGATGGACAAACGCCCTCAGTGTCTGCTCTCTCTGGTCTCCGTGGAGCAACCCCGGCGCGTGCTCCTCGCAGGGGCTGCTGGGCTCCTGCCTGGACAGCCTGGCCTGCTGCGACGCCGCCGTCGCCGCGCGGGCCGCCGCGCTGGCCCTGTGCGCCTTCATGTACCCAGGTAATGAGCGGCTGGATGGACCGACGACCTTTTGTATTCATAGTCATTTGCTAGATGGATCGACGGAATTGTTCATCTACAACGAGGAAACTCTTGGCTCCCATCTAACCTGGTGAAAAGTGACCAGGCTGAAGGTGGAAGCGAGCTTCACCTGGAATCCTTAACCAAAGAGGATCTGGCTGTCTTAGTTCTTTACTAGAACGGGACCTTTATGTCTGAGTCAGGTGGTCTTACTACTGGACTGCCATTGGCTAATAGTGTTCTAACCATGGTGGAGAGTGTAGTCCAAACCTTCCAATCGCTTCTGGTAAGTTTAAGTGCAGGGAAACTCCGAGCATAGCACGCTCCGTCGCCCTTTGGGTGACCTTGAGCCTTCTTATGAGACCCATAGTAAGACCGAACGAA